TCATCCTCATTTCAAAGATTACATACCCACAACGTGATTATGTAACTTATTAACCTAGAAATGAGGGCTTATGGAGGATTGTGATGTTAAGTTTAATAACAATTTTTTCAAAATATTGGATATTTTGATAGAAAATGAATTCTTTTGTCTCAAAATCTTCCTTAAAGTGCTTCTTTCGTTCATTCAAATACGCTTGTTTTAAAAGATCCTTCTCCTTCCCTTTTCTTTTTTTTTTTTTTTTTTTTTTTTTTTGCTTTTTTGGAAGAAAAGGAGGATCCGAACAAAGTCGATGAACGGAAGAAATCCGAGTAAATGGAAAGGAAAAAACACATGATGAATTCTACTTTCGATTAATAGAGACAGACTTTCAATGAATGACTGATAAATGATTTATTGATATTAATCTAATCCACCCCCAAAATGGGATAGATCCAGTAGAAATCTCATTCGCTAAATATGGTAGATTAAAGGGGGACACCAAATGATTGTTGAGCCATGTGAGTTAGGAAACTCTCAAGTACGGTTCCAAGGTGCCCCAAAATTGGATATAATCAACATGTTTTTCTTTTCATTTTTCTTTTACTTATTTGTTTTATGAATATGAATTATTAAAGGTATATGCGTGAGACACAATCTACTAATTAATCTAGTTCTTAATCTATTTCTTTCAAATATCCACTATAAACATATCAGTGATTCTTTTACGAATTACAATTTAAAAGACAAATTGATGTCTTGTAGTTCTATGGTATTATCAGTTATCATTTCAACGATCAACTTCTTCCATGATGATATCCATACTACCTAGGCCCCTTTCTAGTGTCGAAGACTAGGAAGACGAATAATCCCTTCTAGAATTATTTGCCCTCCGCTTACTTATTCACATGGGGAGGAAAATATTTACTAGTTATATCATTTGCTATTGCCTGAATCTCAAGACGTTCTTCGAACCAATCATAGACTTTATTGAGATATGTGAAAATCTCCTTCTCAGAACTGTATATGAGACTTTCATATGGCACAGCTCAGGCAAAAACACCTAAATCATCAACTAGGGTTCCTAAATGATCGTTCGGTGATAAAAGAGGTAAGGGTGCAGAGCCCGCCAAAAGGTCAAAAAAGTACATAATCGACATCTCTAGCCCTATCCTTCTCTATGCATTATTGAATGGGGTTTGGTTGTACTTCATATTTGAAAGTAGTCTCCGTCAATTGAGAAGTTTGATCCAGCTGGTATCTAATGTAACTATGTACTATTTATAGCAATAAATTCCTATAAATTAATGTGTATACTCTAAAAATTGAATTAATTGTACGTTACTGCATCAGCGGTTTAATTGACTTTTGGTTTTATTACCGATCATTCATTCGATGCACTTAAAATCTTGTCTACTTTTTTAGTCAGCGGTTATTTTAATATTATTTTAATTATTGTATAGGAATATATAAAATAATGCATATCTTCAAAATTTATATATATTTCATTTTTTGAATATCCAAGTATCCCAACTTACACCAAACTAAATCCTGGACCCCTAAGACCCTTGCCCCTAGAATCTTGGAGGAGGTAAATCGCGAGTTATGCCTCAACTGAATCACAGGTTCCCCCTATTGCCTGTACACTTCTGCGCACAAGAGACCCTCCTTCACAGTGATTGCTCCATACCAAATATTTGGCCGCAGGTTCCTACCAAGAATCGAACTCTCCACCCTATCGCTAGAAGCAAGACAATGTTGATTGATCCACCAGTTAAGTTGTGTCCCGAGAGGCATTTATAGATATTTCATTCATACTTAAGTTCCCAACAAAAATATAATTCTAAATCATAATTACTCCAAATTAATAATACTTTGTTCATGGGCAGAGAAATTTATGTTTATAGACTGAGAGTCCATTTGTTCCACATTTTTCCAACAAAAATGCATTTTAAACATCACATCAGGGGTCCTATCTTAGAGTTTTGAAGTCAAAAATTGTAGGCTGATTTGATGGAAAAAATGTATTATTTTCCCAATTAATGTGCACCAAACGGGGGCTGAATTTGGGCTAGGGTGTGTCTGCGTTTGAACTTATTTGAATTTTAAAACTCTTACCAATGATTGGTTATTTTGTTGAATTGAACTTTAAAATAAGAAAATTTCACTTTTTAAAAACAATCATTCTACAAGTACATCAATTTTCACACATTTTTTTACAACACATACATGCAAGTGGATGGAGTCCACGATTAAAATAATTCTGAACCCCACCTATGTGAGGAGGTGCGAAAATTACTGTAAAAAATATGTTGTACAAACAGCATTTTTGTTCCAAAAAACAGACATGCGTCTTTTTGGCAAAGCACCCTTATGCGGTCAAAGTAGAGTTAGACTAATTATTTTTCTACCTAGGTGCGAGGGAGGAGCATTTTTCTCTGAGCCTGAGCTCTAGATAGGTCTTTTGGAACACTAATTTATGTTATCTTAAACTTGACTTCAAAAAAAGAAAAAAAAAAAGAAAAAAAAAATTGTTGTTTAGGAATTTATTGTAATTTCATATTTTTAAGTCTTATTTTAGTTCGTTTTCACAATAACAAGTCATGTTGGTTGTATTGAAAATAATAATAATAAATAAATAAAAATAAAAAACGATTTAATTAAAATCATGTCATAATTAATTAAATTTCATTAACATTAATTTGTTTAGCTCACAAATATATTATTTGTGCAAATAAAAGAAATTGTGAAAAATAAAGCATCTCTAATGGACTTAATCCAACAAATTTTTATGCACTCTAATCTCTATATTTGAATTTCTAAGATATTTTAACAATTTATCTGAAGATATCAGCTGCCTAAAAACTAAAAACCAATACAATATATAGTCCTAATATATTACTGGCATCTTTCTCTGTTTACTTAGAAACAAAAATGAAGAAATGAAAGTCTCAAACAGTGATTTGATCATTTGTTGTTGTTGTTCTTCTTCTAGTGACCCTAATATAGCAATAAACAGCTGCAAAAATAGCAGTAACAAGCCCACCAATGATGACACCTCCACCAGCCACTGACTTATCAGAAGAAGAATGATGTTTCACTGGAGCCTCTGCTTCACTGCTTTCTCTCTCATTAATCTCTGGTGGATCTGCTATGTGTTTCTGCTGCTTCTCAAACAAGGTTCGACCCCCCAGCTTCAGTTTTTGTGGATTTTGTTCTTCTGCATTTGCAGATAGAGAAGCATCCATAGCATGGATTATAAAGATAGTAGCAAGTAGTAACAAAAAAACCAAATGGAATCGAGCCATTATAATTTATATGCACAAAGGTTTTTGTTTTGAAGCTGAAATGATATTTGTTTGTCTTGTCAAGGATGTAGAGCATAAGTCTTTGGGTACAGGGGGATCTAATGATCTGAGCTAGCTGTGAATTGGGTGAATCCTGCCTGTCTGACTCTATGTATGTGTGACGTATATATAGAAAAATTTTGTCTTTGTTGGAGCTGTGGGGTTGGGATAGGGTGGTATGGTCCTTAATTGTTTTGAAAATCTTGTGGTTCGAAACTTACAGGAAGGTTTACCAGTTCAGTTGATAGTTGACACTTCGAGATGTGGGGCCGTGCAGCCATTTAAAGCACAATTTCATGTCGGAAAAATGATCGTGTTAGGTTGGGTTTCGCATAATTTTGAGTGGGACTCATTCGTTCATTTTGAAAATTAATTGTAGAATATAACGTTTCAATTTCTAATTTGGGTTGTAATTACAATTGTTATGTTCATCACATTTTTATGCCAGGTATCTTATGCTAAAAAATAAGTTCTATTCATGTAGATTTACTTTTGTATAGAGACGCTTCTTGAATTTTCTGATAATATCATAGATATCTTTCACTTGTCAAAAAAATCGCTAACCTTTCTTTTTTTGAACTTTAGTGTCCCATACGGCCTACCACTTTTTGAGACACATATCTAATCGATGCTAATATATATAATATGTCCTCGTAAAGAAAAAGATGAAAAAGATAAAGAATGTCTAAGATATATATTGTCATAAAATGATCATATAACAGAAAATTCTAAAACTTCGATTAGGAGAATTACTGGTTAATTCACACATCACAAGTGCTGAATTGGTCAACCAGAAAAAATTTTAGAAGTGGAGGTATTCAGAGTCAAAGTCAAATTCGAAGATCAGGAAATTGGTGAGCTACTGCTAGCCTGCTCTTTAATTGTGTGTACTATCCTGTATCCGTCCCATAGACCTTTAATATCAAGTGGAGAAGACTTGCTATACCATTTTAATCTATTCGATTTGAGTGGTTTAGTTAGTAGAGATGATTTTGAATTTCATGGTATACCACGAAATTAAACAATTTTATTATACTATTTAATCTATAAAATATTGACATACCAAACATATCATTAAAAAAGTGAAGTATAGTCACGAAACAACACATTTATAAATTAGCCGATGGCATGCATCACCACCTCATCTGGGCTTTCGCATTCACCAACAATGCCTCAATCTCAATCTAAAAACCTGTCGACGAGTGCCCTAATACTATCCAAATCCTTGATCATTATGAAATTCTCATCCCTCTGCCCCCATTGATTCATAATAAATTGTTTGTCGTTTTTTACAGACAGACGAATGAATTCAATAATCAACATTCCCTAGAGACCTCGCCCGTGAAATCATCGCACCTACGGCGACACAAAAGGCACTGAGGCCGCTGCAGCCACTGCAGTTAAAAACCATGGCACATTGACTGTAGCCGCCAAGCATATCAAAACTGAGGCCAATGCCACCACAAATTCGCATTCCACACCTTCACTTTCCTTAACTTCTTAACTAGGCCTTTGAGTCGTTAAGCTTACAACAAATACTGCATACTAGTATTGAACAAGATTCATACAGGATTCCAAAGAAGAAATATAGCAGTTTACTGTTCAGTCGAGCCACAAGGAAAATTTTGTCATTGCAAGATAATTTCTAAAGTAAAAACACGTGGACAGACCATACACTTATCAGAGCTGATTCGGAATGGATATAAAGAAGGAAAAACACTACATCCAGTCAGTTAAATTGGTCTCAAGATAACATACTCCTGATTACAAAATAATTGCAAAACTGGGCCGGTACACAAAATTTACATAGGATAATTCTACTGCTTCTAATTTTGGACTAACCAAAACTACTGATACAACAGGTTGTAAGCTGGGAGATCCTGCATTCTGTGAACATCTTCTAAAGACAGCTCTCGCTCTAGTTGTGTCCTTGTTACTTGTAAAACCTCCTAAGCAAATGAGAAGAATTTGAGAAGAAAAAAAATGCAGATTATTATCATCTCATACACATCAAAGTAGCTGATTCACATTCGGTAACAAATTTCCTTAAAGGTAAGTCCAAATTTCAGACCTATGAGTAAAACAATTAATAGTTGAATTGAAATGAGAGTAAACTTCTTAGCTAAAATTCATGGTGATTGGCAATCAAACATAGATTTTCTATCAGGAGTGTAAATGTGTACCATTTGGTTGTTTGCAAACTGTGGGAAAGCAATTTGATAAAAACATCACCACGAAGATTTATATTTAATTTCCTTGACGTAAAAATTATATCACGTGCTGGTGAATCTTTCAGCAAGCAATTCATCATCACAACTTTCTGATTGTCATAATCTACATGTGTCAGTGTGCGAGAGGGAAAGAGAGACAGGCACATCACACACCCACGCACGGACAGAGGGAGTGAAAGAAAGTACATTGAACTCCATATATGACGCATGCATGGCAAGCCACTGAGCATCCAACATTGCAAATGCTATACAGTATAAGACATCAAATGCCTGTTCATCTTCTGCAGTTGTACGAGTTCTCTTTCAGTAACAGGACAAGTACGTTCAGAGAAAAGAAAGGAAATAACCGTAATAAACTAAGCACTTACCCTCTAATATTTTAACAAAATTAAGGCCTGGAAGACATTTAGGTTTTGCTGCAAAAAAATAATAATAATAAACTGAGAGAGAGAGAACTATAGGATCACTGTTTTAGCTCTTAGTTTCCATTCCATATGGATAATGTTGAAAAAAGGGTTCAAAATGATAGCCTTGTTGATATCTAAGAGATAAGAAAAAATGATGTAGCTCTGACCCTTCTCACTGTAATGGGATTAAACCCATATTCCTACATTCAAGAGCAATAGCAACAGAACCAACAATCAGAAAACAAGCTAAATGTATCAACGCAAACTGCATACCCCTTCGGCATGTATCAATGCACACTATATACCCCTTTAACAGAAAAAATTTCACACGAAGTGCTCAATGTTAGGTTGATCCATGGTTAACGGGGTAACTGCAAACTATGATTAGGCCCCAGACCAGGTGCAGAACTAGAATTAAATTTTAGTGCGCACTAAAATATTGAGTTTCTTAAGGTTTAAAGATAACCATCATTTTTTCTGGCACAAAAGTTTTACCGACCCGGTTTTTTGTGACTGATTTTTCAACTGAAATTTTTGGTCCATGAATGACTTTCAACAACAAAAATCCGGCCATCAACTATGGAAAATTTTGCTGCTGAAGGTATCAGTTGTAGTGACATTGCAAGATGAAGTGGTCCACGATCCAATTATAGCTAATGAGAAAATATTATACGATAAGATACAAAACTGGAAGAGATTGGATGTGCGTTTAATTTTAACTAAGAAAAATTCATGGTTGCATTTAAAAAAAAAAAAAAAAAAAAAAATATATGGAGCAAGGACTTGACCTGATCGGCTAATCATGAGTACACACATTAGAGACAGCTGAATTAAGAATAGCAATTTTTCAGGTGCGTGCACACCTACTTGACTTTAGATTTTCAGATTATTTCAATTGTGAGTCAGAATTCAAATTACACAAGTTTTTATACTGTGTAACAGCCATAACCTTTAGGAACTTGTATGTAATATGAACTAACACTTGATGTGGGAAACAAAGAAACTCTAACCATTTCGATATTAATTTTATTAAGATAATGCCTTGCTCTTATCAATCAAGACCAGTTGATATACAGAAAATATACAGCATAACCAATCTTATGAAACTGACAGTTAAAACTAGATTACATTAGTGAGAAAAATTTTGGACTAGTCATGATGTACTTACAAAAGAGAAAAAAAAGATGGAATCAAAAAGTTCTACCACATTTAACCATTGATGTACCTGAGCATAAATCCAGCATATGAATCAGCATAAATGTAACATTAATGCCAGCAACAGCAAATGGGTACTCCCAGGCTGCACGTTTTCCACCTTGCTTAGAAAGTAATCGCTGAAAAAGAACCTTCAATTCAAATTCTAAAATATCAGCAAAAATCAATCCTTCTTGGAGCTCAAAGTACACAGAACTGAAGATATTTTAACATCATACAAAACTATCCTTGATCTTGGAAGCAGCAGCGGATCAACCATACCCGATAAGATTTGGCAAAAAAAAGCAAGTTCTCAAGCGAAATGAAGCCACAACCCCTAAGGCCAATGAGTAAGCACAATGAGACAATAATTAAAAAATTTCAACAAATAATATAGCTACATTTGATGCAGTATTAGAAAGAAAGAAAGAGAAGAGGAGCACACAGTACATCCACATATAGCATATGCACTATATGTGGTAGATCATTTTGTTTTTCAGTATTAGAAAATAATTATGTATTGGTTTAGTAGATTGTTTTTATTTGAATGTGAACTGCATAATATTTGAAACATACACTAATATAAATTGAGAATTCAAAGGAGGACTGTATGATTGAAAGTTTCTGCCTAAATAGTGCAGTTGCACTAACTTTACAATCAACTCCCAAACAAAATGATCTGGCTCAACCCAAATTTCTCGGCTCACATGTATACAAACCCTAAAATCTTAACGCTCATACTGACAAGGGATGAAAAACTAGAATTAAAAATGCGGAAGTGCACCTGAAGTCAGTTGATGGATTAGCTCCTTGCCACCCCATATCCTTCCACTGCTCAGAGATTAGACCTTTAAGCTTAACATCCGGGAAGGCAGCATCCCACAAGGTTCGGAGAGCTTCCTGGCAGTAGAGTAAGTGTTGATATTTTAAATGAATACATCTCCATATGAGAAATTAATTGCTAATGGAATTATTACATAGGTAAGTAGTGGCTAGTTCTGTCAGAGGCAAATAGATGTGTTTTATTAATCAGAACATGGTCTCGGACTTGTGGGATCCTCATCACATGTAGTTATAGTCGTGGAACTGAAGTGATAGCCTTTTATTTCCTTTTTATTTAAATTAACGAGATCATGGGAAACAGAACAAGTATGGAGAATATACTTGATGATCAAGGCGAGTCTCGTCAAAAGGCACTCCTAATCGTTCTTTAAGCGTTTGAAGTCTTTGTTCCTGCTATCATTTCAAAATCTGCAACTTAGGTCAAGAAGTACTAGAAGTCAAAGAAGATTAGAAATCCCATACTGCAGCAGATTCCACAATATTCATTTTTATACACGTATTACCCAAGAAATACTTTCCCTGAAAGGGGTTAACAAAAGCTACTTCAAAAAAATTTAAAAAAATTAAATAAAAATAAAAAATCCCACCATCTATATCTATATTACAATGCATTTAAGATTAGGCAGACCAACAGACAAAAGTATATAACCCAATGTCTCTTTAATGCAATAATCCATTTACAATTTAGATACACGCTGAAATGCAAGAAGTCTCATTAATCAATCAAATTTCCCAAGTACCTGAGTAGGACTTAAAGTGTAGTCAAGAAATTTTCCGCTTCCATATCGTTTATTGCCTGAGCGGCTAAACATTCCTCCTATCCATGTTCGTGGTCCAACCATAGCATTAGCTATAACCAACAAAATCTGATTAGTGAAACAATAATTTTTTGTTGGTTAGACAGTGGATACTGATTAAAAGGACTAACTGAACTTACCAAACATACCCCCACATCCGGCTGCAAATAAAAAAACACATAAAAAAAAAGAAAGAAAAACTAACTGAACTCAAATTGAGCCAAACCCTTCTTATGATTGTCTAAAGCAGATTGCATTACCAACCAAAAAAACACCAGTCAACCCCAACAAATTCCGTGTTATCAGTTAAATACAAGGAGCATTATAAATTTGGTAAATATTTAGAATTTCATAATCTAGTATTCAGCTAAATGGAGATTTAGAAAACATAGGCATCGTTAAACTCCTTCTTGAAAATCATTATTTGAAAACTCTTGTTTTTGCACGCTCATTTTTAATGGCACTTTCACCCAATAAAATATTTTGCACGTGAACTAAAAAATTTTCCCTACTTTTTTAACCACAAATTCTACTAAAAATTACTATTCAAAACTTTGTTTTTCCCAAATAATGGTTGTCAAACAAGGGCTAAATATAAGACACATAAGAAATCATCCTCCATCAACATTTAAAAGGCTCCATTATGTGATAGCACGAGCCTGCCTCTCCATCTACAGAAATTTGGCAGAGTAGGCAGTTAAATTTAGTTGTGGATTTAATAATGATGTTGCTCAAGCACAGAGGTATCAACCAATTGCTTATCATTTCTTTCTTACCCTGAGTACATCAATTTTTCTCAGAAAAGTTGACTCAGGTTTTAGTATGTATTATTTTGCATTTGAGTGTGGCAGGGGCTTCATGAATGAATTAAGGAGCAAAATTATCGTAACTTTTTAATTTTCAGAGCCTACAACAATAGCACCTAAATCCTGTATTCCTCTCAGTTATATAACCAATTGGCTTCGAGTTCAAGCTTTGACACTTTTAACATGAGAAAGGTAGCATGGAAATCATACAAGGTTTCAATATGCTTTTGCCTGTTTCTCAAGAGTCAATCACTTAGGATAGATACATACTTTACGATAAACAGTCTGCACCAAGCATAAAAATACAGAGAGCAAGGCAACAATAAGAACAAGGAAAAAAGGTCATTCTAAGCAAAGAAAAACTCTCTTTAGAACTCCACAATTAAACTCAAAGGCAGTGGAAGTGTTAAGTGCGAGAACACCAGTGGAGGAAGAGAAAAAATAAATAAATAAATAAACCTTATGTAAGCAATGTCGTAAAGCAGTATTAATAATTTTTACTCACTAAAGCACTGAGCTAACTGTGATATTACGTGAGTAGAATTAAGCGACCAAGCCGAATCTTCATCGTGCTTTTTTCCGTCCCAGTAAAGCTCATCTTCATCAACCTGGATATGTGAATATCCATAAGAATGAAAGAGATGAAAAGATGCCAAATTACATTAACTGCACTTAATTAAATATGTGGTGCTAAACATTAAAGAATTATTTCTTTCTTCCATCTCAGTAGGACAAATTATATGAGACATATAGATAGATGAGCCAAGATGAGCATAGAAGAAGGATATGAGAGAAACTGAAAAGCATTGATTTTCATACAAAAAGTTCAATCATAGGGGACATCGGTAAATGGATCCAATAGCAAAATCCCCAAAGAAAATTGATGAAGTTAGAAATATCTAGTACATTAAAATGAAATTACTGGACGCCAATTAGCCATAGACATTTATTCTTTATAGTTTTTACTTTAAAAAATTGATATTCGAGTGCTGGAAATAACCAGAACTAGCACTATACATTACCAAAACTAAGAAAATAAATTTTTGTTTCAAGAAAGAAACTGAAACACGGAAAATATTGGAGACTGATACTTTTAGCCAAAACTAGTATAGTTTGATGTTAATTACATAACAATCTAGATTCTCAGGCGACGAAAATAAATAGAATTTAGTATAATAATTTATAGCTTCAAAGTAAAATATTCATTTTTCAAGAAAATCTCTAGACTTCTATTGCAGCACAGGATGTCAAAGGACAAATCTAGTATCAAGACTCTGTGATTGCATTGTCTGGCGCAGCACTTTAGGTGAATGAATAATCACCTGATTCTACAGGAAGATTTATTTGCTTGTATACAATCGAAATTCCGCCCTGTATGATTCAAGACTCAATTTGACGCCCTATGAATTCTTTGACTTCTTATTTAAATTTTAAAAATAAATGTATAAGACGATGAAATTACTCCTGAGGAAGCTGAATACTAATAGAAAAACCATAGTGTATTTCAAAAGAGAAGTTAGTCCCTTTGTTTTTGTGCTATAAAATGAAAGAGTGAAGGTTAGAGAAAAATAATCAGCAGCTTACTCTTCTATTAGAGGAACAAGAAGGGATACATTTTCTACGCCTTAATCTCATCAGAGACAAAAATGTGAGAGGTCAGAATCTCCAACCCTTTCTAAGCAAAAAGTAAAGCAAAAGAGAGTTGATGATACAGTTATCCAGTGATTGCAGTTACCCATGCTTGGCTCCTCTAATTCAACCCCTAATCATTCGAAAACTCTCCCATTTCCCAATTTCTCCAACAAAATATTACCTTAAAATTAAATCCCTATATGCTCCTGTATGTCTAGGAACACGAATAGAGAGGGAAAAAAATCACACTTTTGGGAGTGACATGTAAAGGCAAGATTCATAGCGCAATCAATGGGCAATTTGCTTCATTAACATCATTGTGGACAGAGAAATATTGGGTTTTCATTATGAAGGAGGTGGACAAAAAGTTTTTCAAAAAGGAAAGAAAAAGGCAGGCATATTTCATATTTGTATTCTCTTTGCATGACACACCAGATAAAATCACACGCTCAAGAAACACGTACACAAAGATACAACTATACCAAGTACAAACAAACATATAAACACCCTAAATATATAGTTGCAGCACAATAGAGGGTATGATAAAGATGGGAAAATGCACCTCTTAACGCATGCGAGAATTGAAATTCTTCTTCCTATTGTTGAAAGGAGGAATGTGGGGCCCAGTTGAAGGAAGCAGTGGGACCAGAGCGGGAGCAAGAGGGGAAAAAGTGGGAATATGAAAAAGATGAAGATGAAGATGAAGATGAAGATGAGGGCTAGAGAGAGCCTTGGCTTTCTCGAACCAGCCATGTCGCAGAATGCCCGCCTATTCCGTAGTATCTGATTATATGATAACAATATAATTTGAGGCATTGTTGTCTCAATTATGTCCCAAACTCTATTTTCCTATGGTCATAGTTAAGTTGTAATGGAAATTTGGAAATAGTGTTTTGAAACATTAGCGAGTAGCTATTTTCATATACCATTTCTTTATATTTATTTCATTCTAAATTTATCTTTAAAAAAAAAAAAGAAAAAAGGTAAATTCATTCATTTAAACAATATAAGACAATCCCTATTGCACCAAAATTGTGCAACATGAATAGCGTTGCACCATATTTGGTGCAATACTGTTCATTGCACCATTTTTTGCACCAAATGATACAATGTTCATTTTTATCTTCTTTTTTTCATTTTTCAAAGATAATGGTTAAAGATATTTGTGTCATTTTCATTCTATAATAATAATAATAATAAATTACACTATTAATTATATTATTAAAATTTGTTTAATAGTATAATTAAGGATTTTTTAATTTTATAATTATTTTTGCAGATTTAACATAATTATTTATAATAAATTAATAATATAATCAATTATTTTCTTCAATTTAACATAATATATAAAACTTGTGAATAATTTAGTAATTAATAATAATTTAATATATTTGTTAATTTAACAAAGTTATGATTTAGTAATTTATATAATTATAAAATAATAAATCAATCAGTAACTTTTTTAAATAAATACATTGTCAAAAATTGAAAAAATGAATAAAATAATAAAACATTGTTCATTTTGTGTAACTTTTGATATAATGGTTGAAGATGAATTTTGGTTTGGTACGACACTTGAAATGGCCTAATAAAACTCTTTGTGCAAATTCAATTGACAAAACGAGTTATAGCACGTGGTTGTGTATAATTGGCTGCACAAAACTGTTTTTTGTCCAATGTTCAATCAATGCTTGTCACATGTGTTCTTGTAATGCTCTATGTATATTTCTTCGATACATGTAACAAAGTCCTAAATAATATATCTACATCATTTTTATATATTTTATCCCACTATAAATCTATTCCTATTACTATTTACCTTCTTCAATTCATTTTTTCATTCTTGCAAAGTTGAAGCACATAAAAGTTATGTAGATAAAAACAATTCAAGCTTTCAAATTTAGCATACTAATTAGGTTTATACACGCAAGTTTATGTATCTTGCGTAAACTCTTCTATGTATACAATAATAATATGGTCTTTGTAAAACTTGTTAGACGATGAAGATGTTTGCAGAAATAAAATTGTTGTGAGAGACATGACCATTATAAAGCTTTCAACAGAAAAAAAACTAAACTCATATAATGGAAAAAGAAATTGAAATTTATCGAGAAATAAAGATTAATGTATTGAGAATTAAAAATTGAATATAATGGTTTTTAACATGTGTAATTAAAAAGTATCCAAATTCCAAGAAATATAACAAAAATTTACTATATAGTCAATATTCAGTAACCATTTTCGAACTAGATATCTCAAATCACCAATAACTTCAGAATAAATTAAATTATTTCTCCATGGAAGCCCACAAAAATTTATCATAATGACAATTCTAATGCATAATCATGCTTAAGTCACGTGGGACAGGAAAGTGGACGTGGGTAAATTCTTGAACTTGATTCTAGGTGATATAGAATGAATTGCTTTTAATGTTATGGGTTATAACTTTTAGACAAAGTGGTGATAATATTCTACATCGAATTCTTAATTTTGTTTCTAAGTTAATTAAAAAAGAAATATATGTATGGGAAACTTTTTAGAGTTTCCGATGTTTTTTCTAAAGTGTTTGAAAAATTTTGGTTTTCAAAATGGATCCAAAAATGTCATCACTAAGTTTCAGTGCAACCTAGGATTAAATATTTTAAGGGTATTTTGCATAGATCCAAATTTTGAAAATGTGTAAAAAGTTGTCACTTTTATTAAGGAGACTAAAAATTGTCACATTTTGGGTGTGAAATGTTCAAATCATCCTTGGAGATACTTGTTTTGGGTATATTTAATGCTCGTTAATGCATACATTTAATGCTAATTAATGTCATTATTTGATCATTTGATTTGTATAAGAAAATCATTAAATATATCTATAATTCAATTGGTAACGGGATTATTAACAAAAAAATAAATAAAAACCAACAACCACAACAATAACAAATTATGTACCGATTTTCATACTCCAAACCCCCCCCCCCAAAAAAAAATTGTCTTAACATCTTCTCCATTTCAATATCAAGAAGAAAGTTTGATAAGTGTAGTTTCTACACTTATTAAAGATCCTAAATGATGATATTTTACTCTTCTTTGAATAAAATACTATTTAACTTGTGTTGTAATGCATTTGGTAAAACTTGATGTTTGATGAAGAATTTGAGAAAAGAATGCAAAAACAGTGAAAATGGTGAAATCCAAAAGTCGAAGACTAAATTGTAAACAATTCGTAGATGAGATGGGAAATGAAATGAAGATCGAAAATAACAAGAATTTAATTGGATACAATTGGAGGATAAAGGAACAAAATTGCATAGGAAAATGGCTGAAATGAAGCAAATCAAAAGTTTGAGGACCAAAGTGCAAATACTACAAAATTATGTCAAATCTCGCGATGAAGATTTTGTGAGTGCTAGAGGTAAATTGGATGAGTAAAGAAGTCAAAGGGATGAAGTATAGCCAAAGTATTATTACACATCAACTTTCAGCCAAAAAAGCTACACTTCACATTTTTAGCCTCATATTGAGACCCAATTTTGGCATAGCAAACTTTCGAATTGGAAAATTGATATTTCTAAAAGAATTATAGACCTTCGAGTTAGTTTTCTATCACACTTTGAATCGCCTCAATTTGATAGCGACAAAGAAATTATGATAAAAATACTAAAAGTTGTTTGGCTGTCAAAAATTAAGCGAAGAGCGCGCTTGAGGCTCCCAAACAAGCCAGATGTGCGCCCTAGATATGTGCCACGTGTTTTATGCAATGTGATATAAATCGCAAGTGTACGGTATCAAGTTTTGTAATACAGTATTGAAGTAAGAGTGTCGAATCCACAGAGATTGTAACTTAATTTTTACTAAGTACTATAATTGGGTAATTTCTATTTTATCTAGACAAATGAAATTTTAGAATCAATGTGTTTAAACTAAATTAATGCGATGAGTGTGGTGACGAAATCAAGGAATGCAAATTATACAACTAAATCAAAATGGAAAGGCTTAGGGAATGATTTCACCTAACTATCAATTACAATTCAATTGAGATAATTCAAAATGCGTTGGAAAGCTAACTCAAAGGTTACAACTTTGCTTCAGGCGTCATTCTTCAATTTGATCGTTTGCTATGATAAAAATGGGTCTCAATATTAGACTAAAACTCTGGAGCATAATTTTTCAGTTGAAAATTGATTTGTGATCATATTTTGATTAAATGTGATTCTTTTGACATCTTTCTTCATTCAATTGACTCATAGCACTCTCGAATTTCCATTGCATGATTTGACACAACTTTTCAATAGTTGTACTTTAGTCCCCAAACTTTGGATCTCTTACATTTGGCCATTTTTCTCCAATTTTGCTAACTTTTGCTTATTTCTTTCAATTTTATCAACCTACATCACAACATCAAAACGCTCATTAAAACACTCTAAAACACTCTCAAGGGTAGCAAAATAACGAATTAAGTGGCATAAATATTATGAGTGTAAAACACTCATCAATATGCCTAGGCACGTGCCTCAATACCAAGACAAAAAAAATCCAATTTTCCTTATTTTTATTTTAGTAACAATTTAATGCAATCTTTTTGGCATCATTTAAATACCAAACTCAACAAGAACGAGAGGAGGCTCTATTAGACCTAAAAATTCATAGATTCAACATATTTTGAAGGTAAAGAACCAGGCTAGATCATCGACATCAGGGAATTGTTCAAGATTTTTAAAGATTACCCATCCAAAATCAAGATTTCATTCGAGAAAGTGGATTTTTCTATCTTCTTCCATATTTCTTCGATCCAGGTAATGTCTTTTCATTATTTTTTGTATAATTTAATACTTAGATAGTTGGCTAGATTTTTCCTTTGAATTAGATAAATAATGAACTCTATTGTTGTTTATTTTAATTCAAGACAATTAGTTTAGTATTTCTTGATTTTTTCTTGATTGAGTTTGCATTCCCATTAAACTATTTGATTGCTTGATCACCAATTAAATAATAAGTTGCTTATTGTAGTGTAGGAATACTCACAATAAGTTTAGAACGCGGCAAATCAACACATGGACAATAAGTTTTAGGAATAATATCTTTCGCGTGTGCAATCATGCGTGCTAAATGTTGTGAATTAATATATGTTTTTCATATGAATTTGAACTAAGAATATGATCAGGTCGTGTTAAACATATGTTTAATATATTTTGGAAAAGAATATTGAATAAAAGTAGATTATCAATTGTCTTGAACACATGAATTTATTAAATTATGAATTAAGAGTTGAATTAAATGGTAACAGGGGGATTCACGATTCTAATACAAACATTCACATATTAGATAAATATTTTATTTGCTTCCTTAGTTTAG